ATTATATATATAGATCTATATCTATATATCTATATATAGATATATAGATATAGATCTATATCTATATATAGATATATAGATCTATATATATATAGATCTATATATCTATATATAGATATATAGATATATATAATCTCTGTGCACTATATGATAGTCAATTATATGTCCAGCTTTTCGGACATACTGGAAGATAACTGCTGATATCTATTATAATGCTACTGCTGCTCCTATTAAGGCAACATAGGCTAATAGCTTTCATGTTCTTGAGCAGTGCCATGATGGAAATGAACACAGGAAAGAATGTCCTACATAGACTGCAAGTAATTACTGGAAATCTGCTTTCAGATGTTTCCCCGATGGGCTCTGAGCACTATTGTAGGAAACCTGCATTTCAGAACATCTGCTCGCTTCTCTGCTAGTTTCTCTGAACTGTTAGATTGCTTTACATAATCTACATTTTCTGCTGGTCAGCACTGCGCTTCAAAGTCAAATGTAGAATTACTTTAAACGTGTACGAGGCCATCCAGAGTGCATACATTGATAGCTTTCTATATGTGCGCATGACATACAGCTTGCTTTAATAAAGCATCCTGTACATTTTATATTTAATCAGATGCCTTTACAATGAAGAACTCTGTAATATCAACTAGGAACAGGCAGCAAGCTTTTAATTGCAACGTTTTCTATTGTATACTGCATAGACATTAAAATAGAAAACATGTTTTGTTTTAGCTTGGCAAACTAAAATGGAATATAAATATATTTCTGTCTGTTCTTTTGTTTGACATCTCTGTTTATTGTGTGTATAATAATGGTCAGCTGAGCAACATTTCTACATATTGTTTGTTTAGTACTGGGGCCTACAGAAGTTTACCATTCAGACATATTTGCCCATAGTGTGCCAATGACCGGATTAATATTGCAATGCAATATCGTATTCAGTCTAGTTGCCACAATGTTGAATAATTGTCTGCAGCACCCAGACACATAGTAGTATGATGAGATCCATCTATATGCAGCTAGAAATCTCTATGCATCATTGTTGGCAATTTAGATAAAGGTACTTAAGCTATTGATTATCTACCACATTATCTACTAAATAAAAAAGTTAGCGTATGTCAGGGCACAAAACAAAACATGCAGTAACTCTCTGCAATAAATGCACATTTCCCCATGTTTTTATCCCTTTATCAACCCCGCATGTAAAGAAAAATACCTGCTGATCTGCCAAAAATTTCTGACATGATCAATCGGTATTTTTGCATATAACAAACAGATAAACAAAACACTTTTAATGTTCTATTTAACAGACCAAAAGGGAGCAAATGGGGTCTACATACAGTACATGTTAGCATGTCAGTCAGTTCTGCAACAAGGGGATCTTGCTTTATTAGTGACACGTTTTATGTAAGTTATGTTACATGCAGATGCATTATTGAACATCCTGGAAACTAATGAATTATACTTGGAAACAACAGATGGTTTCAAAATTAATATTTTGTGAATTACCCCTATTACAATCTCCGACATACGGAAGCATGTAAAACAGTTTAATACATGTTACATGCAGTTCTGGTTTTTACATCTGTTTCGTTACATTTTTTTCCCCTCCTTTGTTTAGGGCTTGAAAAGAAGTGAACAGAGTTCAATGCTTGAGCTGTTTCGACAACGACTTCCAACACCTCCTTCTGGTTCTGAAAACAGTTCTGTCGCTCTTCAGACTCCGACGCCTGAGCAAGAGTCGTCACGGATCCGAAAACTGGAAAAACTCATCAAGAAGCGGTTGTAAACTAAGCACCGCGACCTGTGGACTCCACAGTGGCCAGTTAGCAAATCTGCTATGAACACTCTGACAGTCACCCTATTATGCTGTCACATCTCTTCTAATTGATCATTTTAGGTGTCAATGGAGTAGGATTTGAGCCAGAGAATGCCTATTGGAAATGACAGAACAGTATGACTTTGTCTCTGTCTAGACAGAACATATCTAGATCAGTCAATCCCTCAAGCATGTTAAAAACACTGCGAGGGAGTGTGCGGTCATGCAGGATTGTTCCTCCTAATTTTTCTGTTTGGTTTAGCCCAAGGCTTGTATGCAAGTACATAGCTGAGCGTCCAGTCTATTTAAGGAGACACTTCTGTTCCTGCTGCGTCTAACCACTGAAACACATTACAAACATAGCAGGCTCTAGCATGAACAAACTTTTGTTAAAGTGGTATTGCTTTACTTTCTACATCCAGCTGTTACATGAAAACAATGTGACAGCCTTGACACCGACTCTGCTGTGTGCCAGCAAATTTCATTAGGTGTTAACTGTTTTACGCTATACAAATAATGGAAATTTGCTCAGACCAATCGAAACGTCGGGTGGATTGTTCTGAAAGAATCTTGGCCAGCCTGTTTAAACTTAAATAGCTCTTAGTTTATTGATGAGTGCAGATGAAAGCTAAACATTCTACACGCACAATTGTGTTTTGTCTCTTCTTTGCAGTCATGGAACTTTTAAGATAAGACAAGAGATCGTTACTGTATCATAGTACAAACTCGTGAGAAAAATGATAAGTTAGATTTCTAAAATGATGTTGCTTTGTTATAATGGTGGCTGCTTTACCCAAGCTGATACTGCTCCAGTGCAATTATACAACAATCTCACCATTTATGGTACATGATTGTTCACATCACATGAGGATCAGGAGTGATACACCATGCTAGACATATTGCAAGTACTATTCTCAGCTAATTCATTAGGCATAATCCAATGCATCACTACACTACTCTACAACAGTAACATATACTGTTCAGGGACCATCGCTACATGGGATACTCCATACTTTCACCTCATGGAATAGTATATGTGCATGTTTGGTGAATTGGAGATCTCCCAAGAGTATGGACATACAGAAACAAACCTTCCATAAATGGCCAGATCAACAGCCACAATGAGCAGGCTTGTCTTCTACATGCTAATTTTAATATCTATGAACTACCCGTTTTCACCACAGTTATTGATCAGCTGCAGGAGCCACACATTTGTATTTCATAAAAATGTTTTACTGAAAAGGTGGCAGCACTATACATTTTCCATTATGATAAAATATTTCTATGACAAGTGTTACCAATTAGAGTTTCCAAACATTCATTATCCATACTATCACTGAACAGTACACAGCCTTATTATTCCAAGCAGTTGTCAAATATGTTGCATCTCTTGATAAAAACCATGCATCGCTAGCAAGGAAAATCTGAAGTATGTAACACTCCAAAGGAAAGTTTAAAATGCCACTTTTCGAAAATCTTGCTTTGTCTTCGTTATTGCTAGTACCATATGTAATAAACATTCACGCCATACCCTGCTGTACCTTTTATGTGTTATTACCAACATTACTTCAGTTGTCGGTTTTACAATTCTTTTTTAATTGGCATACTACCGGTAAAACGAGTGTCTAGTACTGCAAGTAACATAAAATATTATAGCAATTACACAAAAAAGTTATAGAAAATAATCTATCAATCTTGTTTATTAAGAAAAAAGAAGCAACAGTACTCAACCAGATGTCATCTCTTCCTGATCTTCAGTAAATAAAGTCTGGATGTTCTGAGTTACTGCAGATGATTGCTCTTTGTATTGGATTATTCAGTAGGCCTATTTGTCACAGGTACATAAATACAACGTCCTGTGTAAATGATTCTGTATGTTGGTAAAATACGGAGCATACTTTTATATTTTCTTTTGGGGTAAATATCAATGCCTTTTATTTAAGGGTGACATGAAACTGAGATGTATTTATTTGGGACTTACTGTGCAGAAATGTGGGATAATATTGCATCTAATACTATAGATTAGAATAATCCTTTTATATTTTGCTGATAACTGCACATCGTAAAGGTGTGTTTCATGCATAATGCATTAGGTCAGTGAAAACTGAAATTCAGTTTTCAGTAGATGCTCCATTAAGGATTCTTACATGAAAGGATCTCATTCTATGTGTTTTTAGTATGTTTTGTATTATTGAGAATGCAACAGGAAGAGTGAGAACACTCCACTGTGGGGGAGAACATAACAGAGGGGGCAGGAATACAGCCGTGATTTCAGGAAAACCCTCGTCTGCTGAAGCTAAGGAGGGACTTGGCCCTTCAGAATTCATTCATAACTAAAATACCACTTGCAGGTGGGCCAATAAGAGGTACAATCTACTAGCTATTGGTGGTCTTTCCTTTTTGTTTTGCTTGTCAACAGTTCCCAGGGAGGGCATGAAGTGCTAGTCTGAGAAAGAATATATCTGTGCTGCTACAAAGCTGTAGATTTCTTTGGCGCCACTTTGTATTGGCAAAGATGAAGCAAAACCAGCTTTTTTTACCTGTTTTCTTCAGGATGGCTCATCTCGGGCAGAGTTTTAGAGTCTGGCACTAGGCTCATTCACTAGACTGGAGCTTGAAAAACTGCTTTTTTAATAATAAAAGGTAGTTTTGAAATTGGAGATGTTGCTGCATATTGTGATATGCCAGTAATTTATGCATGCAGACTTGCTGATGGGTCCAATTTAAATGGCCTTTAAAGAGTTCTGTTGAAAATAAAGACACCCTTTTTATGTGTGGTTATGGGCTTAAATTCTGTGTATAAGGCATGCGGTTATCATCTGTTCACTTTTGTTCCATAAAAAAAGTGGTTTAATACCTTTGTTTAATAAATTGCATTGTCTAGCTCTGTCTGTTTTATGGAATAATGTAAACCCTCTCTTGGGTGCATACTGTATGAATTTCTTTGTACATAAGTGTGTCACTGCTCTACAAGCACTACAACAGATCGCCATGTGCTCTGGCTGCTGCAAACATGTAAAAGGATGCCTTAGATGTACATTTTATTTTGCAGGGCTAGTGAAAGGATTAATGTAGAAATGCACACAATGTTCAGTTTGCCTAATAAAAACTATTGGATTTTATTAATAGAGGGCTGATTACTTTATGATGATGTGCTATGTGAATCATATTCATGCCTATGCAGCTTTCATAATATTTGTTTTTATGAGTTTCCAGTTGCATATTTGAAAGTATTGGGGTGGCTTTGCACTAAAGCTGCTTCTTAAAGTCCAGGCTGTGGACATTCAGGTAGTTTAAATATTGTTAACCAGCAGTAAATTAACATTAACCCTTACTGACCTCCCTAGCTCCTAGTAATCTGGAGCAATTCAGCCTCAAATTTCACAGCAGAAGCACTAAAGTAGTTCAGGTTTTTATCTCTCGGGCAGTTGAGAGAAGAACTTCAGCTTTACAATTTGAGGGTGGATTTCTCAACATAATCTGCAGCTACAGAGGTCAATTATGGCTTTTTTTAAAGGTTTTTCACTGCTTGTTAAGAATAGGTAAATGTCCATAGAGAGATATGGAGTACAGTGCTAAAAGCCTCTGTCATAAATCCGAATAGCTATAATAAATGTTAATTCAAGTGCATTCACAAATGGAATAAATTAAATGTATCAAACACCTCTAAGAGAATAAGATGGGACTATAAGTACCAATCGGTGGTAATCCCAATAACATATATTAAAAATGTATGAAAAATAATCTAAGGTGCGTGAAATCACTCACAGCAATAAACTGTGTCAAAACCTGCTGCCGTTGTAACGACAAAGTGCTGTGAAAAACATGTATCAAAGTGAAACAATGTTGTAAGAAAAAAAAACATCAAAATATAATAACAGTCTCAACCATGTGTAAAAACAAAAATGAATAGGAAAGTGTTTCCTTTCGATCTCTCGTATCTAACGAGCAATTACAAACGTGAATCTAATATTTAAATCAAACTCATAGTAATGAAAAAAATATATAAATATGTGTATATAAAAAATAAAAATTTATATCGCCCAAGAATGTCTTGTTCTTTCAGTCTTTTTTCTTCAGACGAATATAAGATGCACAATTTTAAGAACCATCAAACAATGAAAAAAAGTTTAGTGCAATGTCTATTTCTTCCAAAGAATACACCCCAACAGTGAAATCCAATATGTGTTAATTCCGTGATGTGCCCAACGAAAATCCATATGTACTCCATATCTCTCTGACTTATAGGGCTTTTTGCCTTAGTTCAGCAGCTCCTAGCTTCTTTGCATTTATTAATAATCCTTTTGAGTTATTGAGTCTTTTTTACTATTACTGATCATTTTTCCATCAGCGCAGGCTTTGTTCACTATAGGTAAATGTCCATAGCCTGACAACACGTTAAAGGAATCCTGTAGGAATGCTAATTTGGAAGTTGCCATTGCTGGAGTTGTGAGTAACCAAATATGAAGGATAAGAATTACACAATAAAAAAAAAAAAAAGTCCGCTATTTGTTTGACTGAACCACTATAAACGGAGAGGATAGGATTCTATTAAACTCTATGTGAATTACACCTGTTTTTAGCTTGCCACGGATAGGTAGGTCAAACTTCGGCTCTGCGATCAGTCCACCTGCTATTTAACCTTTGAAGAATTAGCACTACAGCTACAACATTAGTTCAATGACTTCTTACCACCAGCTTTTAAAAAGTCAGTACAGTATACATTAAACAGTCAGAGCAGATGCACTATTGTAAAAACTATAGAGCATTAAGGACCAGTGTATCAATTATATAGTTTAACATTTAAATGTGTATAACCATGCATTTTATGCAACAATGTTATAACAAGGAGTTAGAATATTGTTGCATAATATTATAAAAAAAATACTCGATGCCGATACTAAGTATTTTAGCGAGTACTTGTACTCGTCCAAATTCTCTGATACTTACTCCCAACTTCCCGGCCAATCAGGAAGCCGGTCGGAAGGTAATGACTCGCTGCTCGGCCTCTTGATTGGCTGAGAAGCCGGCTCCATGTTTGGCTGGGTGCCCAGTCAATCTGCATTGAGCCGGCAAACAGCATGGAACCAGCCTCCCGGCCAATCATGAATTTGTGTGGCATGCCGTTACCCGTCTCCAGGCTTCTTGATTGCCGGGAAGCTGGCTCCGTGCTAGCAGAAGTATAGGTACTTGGTATTGACGAGTACCGAAATATAAATATTGGTACTCGATACTGAAAATCCAGTATCGCTGCATCTCTAGTTCTAACAAGTAAATATAGTGATCGGTGATTACATTTAGTTCCGATTCTGTAGAGATCAAACTTCAGTATTTTAGCTGGCAGTACTCCAGGGTGCTCTCAATATTAACAACTGAAGCCATCATTCTACAATGACTGTATTTAGTGTCTCTTCTGTAGCTCTTGCTGTCAGAAATCTTTAACACTGAGTATTATCATGATATTGATTTAATGACTATCTGAATGTCTTACAAATGTGTATGGATGTTGGTACCCTAACTAGAGGAAGTATAATAAAAAGTGATAGTACAGATCAACACCTGGTGATGCCAGGGTGAACGGCTCGAAATAGACATTTTACCTTTTAAGTTGAGTAACTTAATTTGACCTAATTTAGAGAGCATAAGGCTTGACTATTTCCTTTCAGTATAAATTCCTGGAGCTAGGTAAAGCGTGACAGCAAATTACATGGATTTTTTATTATCTAGATAATACTCTGTAGCACAGTAGAGCTTTTTTAGAGCAGAATGTATTCCTA